ACTCCTACACTGCTGGTGGGACTGCAAACTAGTTCAACCTCTGTGGAAAGCAATATAGAGATACCTTAAAGCGATACAAGTGAATCTACATTTGATCTAGCAATCCCATTGCTGGGCATGTACCCAAAAGATCCAATGACACTCTACAAAAAAGACACCTGCACTCGAATGTTTATAGCAGCACAATTCATAATTGCAAGGCTGTGGAAACAGCCAAGTGCCATCAATCCAAGAATGGATTAATAAAATGTGGTATATGTATACCATGGAGTACTATTCAGCTCTAAGAAACAACGATGATATAGCACATCTTATATTTTCCTGGTTAGAGCTGGAACCCATACTACTAAGTGAAGTTTCCCAAGAATGGAAAAACAAGCACCACATATACTCACAGCAAACTGGTATTAACTGAGCAGCATCTAAGTGGACACATAGGTACTACAGTAATAGGGTATTGGGCAGGTGGGCGGGGGGCGGGTATATACATACATAATGAGTGAGATGTGCACCATCTGGGGGATGGTCATACTGGAAACTCAGACTTATGGGGGAAGGGGGGGGGAAGGGCATTTATTGAAACCTTAAAATCTGTACCCCCATAATATGCTGAAATAAAAAAAAAAGTCAAATAATAGCAAGTATTGGCAAGGGTGTGGGGACATCAGAACCCTCATCCACTGTTGGTGGGAATGTAAAACATGCAGCCACTGTGGCACAGTCTGACAGCTCCTCAAATGAATAAACACCGAGTTATCACACAACACAGCAATGCCCAAGAAAAATGAACCTATGTCTACAGAGAAACTAATACACTAATGTTGACAGCAGCATTAAGTACCAAAAAGTGGAAACAACCTGATGAATGGATGAACTAAATATGGTATATCCACACAATAGAATTTTTTTTTCTCACTCTGTTTTGTCTCACTCTGTTGCCCAGGGTAGAGTGCAGTGGCTTCATCATAGCTCACTGCCACCTCAAATTCCTGGGCTCAAACAATCCTCCTGCCTCAGCCTCCTGAGTGGCTGGGACTATAGGCACGTGCACACCTGGCTAATTTTTCCATTTATTGTAGAGATGAGGTCTCACTATGTTGCTCAGTCTGGTCTCGAAATCCCCCCACTCAAGTGATCCTCCTGCTTTGGCCTCCCAAAGTGCTAGGACTAGAGGTGTGACCCACCATGCACAGAATATTCTTTTTTTTTTTTTTTTTTTTGAGACAGAGTCTCACTTTGTTGCCCAGGCTAGAGTGAGTGCCGTGGCATCAGCCTGGCTCACAGCAACCCCAATCTCCGGGGCTCAAGCAATCCTCCTGCCTCAGCCTCCCTAGTAGCTGGGACTACAGGCATGCGCCACCATGCCTGGCTAATTTTTTTTTTTATATATATATTTTTTTAGTTGGTCAATTAATTTATTTCTATTCTTGGTAGAGACGGGATCTCGCTCAGGCTGGTTTCGAACTCCTGACCTTGAGCAATCCGCCCGCCTTGGCTTCCCAAAGTGCTAGGATTACAGGCGTGAGCCACCACGCCAGGCCCCCAGAATATTCTTTAGCCATGAGAAGGAATGGCGTACTAATGCAGCTAGAACACAGATGAAGCTTGAAAACATTGTGGATATGTGAAAGAAGCCAGTTACAGAAGACAACGTATCATATGATTTGATTCACATGAAAATCCAGACAGGCAAACCCACAGAGACAGAAAGCAGATTGGTGTTGGAGGGGTAGATTGGGGTGAAGGGAAGGGAGGATAGGAAAGTGATAGCTAAAGAGTGTGGAGTTTCTTCAGAGGTGATGAAAATGCTCTAAAGTTGACTGTGGTGACAGCTATCACCACACGTCTATGACTGTGTTAAAATCCAGTGAATTGTACACTTTAAACAGACGCATTATATGCTGTGTGAACTATCTCTCAATAATGCAGTGTTTTAAAAAGCATATAAATAAGAACGAATTCACATCAGTTGGAAAATACAGAAGGGTGCTAATAACAAACTAGAAAAGTCAGAGGATTTGGGGAAAATAGTTAAAAGATGTTAAAACAGTTAACAGAATAATGGAGTGAATGTTTGCAAAACAGAGCATCAGGTTTCCAAAAAGTATATTGTGAACATAGACTCATCACTCAATTCAAGATAAGGGAATTGTCTCCCTTAAATTATTTTTCTCACCCTGACCTATTTTTCCTTCAAAATTCACATGAACCTCTAACAGCTCCAAATTTTAGATAAATGACTCTCATGCCAGTGGCAGAGTGGAAGATTTGGGCAGTGGAGTATTCCAAGTTTATTTTTGTATATTAGCAGTAAACAGTTGGAAAATTAAATTATGACACAACCCATTTACAATAGCACCAAAATACATAAAACACTTAGTGATAAATTTAACAAATTACATGTAAGACCTCTATGCTAAAAACCACAATAATATTTTTAGGACTGTTTTTCCCTCTCAAAAACTTGAATACTATTCATTGTACAAACTTAAATTGAAGATAAAAAAAAGAATGAACCAAGTTACTTGGGTTTCAGCAATTATATTTAAAGCACTTGGAGCTACCACTCCAATCCTTAGAGAAAAAAATATTGCACAAACTGAAAATTGACTTTTCCTGTACCCTCTGGAGAACTGAAAGAAAACTGCCACCCCCAAATCTGGAGGTAAAAGTACATGGAGAGAATCACAGCTGAGATCTGCCTCCCTGGAACAGAAGCTGCTAGAGACATACACTGGCAGGAAGACTCACGTGGTGACGTTGGTGAATTGCCGGAGGGCCAGTGTGGACTGGAATAAAAGCAAGAAACTCCTTGGGCTGCAGTCTTAGGAGGCCCCCACACATGTTCCTGGATCTTTCCTTGAGGAACCTCACTAGGTTTTCACAGCGAAAAGGCAAGAAGAATTCCCCTCAAGGCTCAGCTGTGAAGATGGGAAAAGTAACCATTTTGAAAGATTCATTCTCCATAACAAATGCCTGATCTCCAAGGTTAATTAAAGACTTTATGAGAGCCCTATTACCTCTTGGAGGGAAGGGCACTTGCCTAATTCCAGCCCCTTCTAGCCTCCCTGTCTCACCTAAGGGGAGGGGAAAAAAAAAGGCTAAGAAGCGCTTGAGAAGAACCCGGCTCTGGGCCGTTGTAAGGACGGGAATGGTGGATCCAAGCTCTTTCTGTGTCATTGCTGAAACCCAAGTGCCTTTGAAGTTTCAGGCTCACTAAAAGAACAAGATTAAATCATAAGATTATAGAACACTTCCCCACCACACCAACAGGGCCCTCATCACGTAACGGTGCATTTCAGATGAAAGAGCTGGAAGACACAGACTCTATTTAAAGAGGAGTTCCTAGGGAAGTCCAAAACACAACAGGGGGGAAAAACAAGGACGCTGGAAAAATTTGAAGCCTCTAGAATCTACAGCTACCGCAAACATTAAACACAGCCCAACACCTAGCCAGATCAGCACAAAATTTCAAAATTAAAGTTCAAATTTCAAAATTAAATTTCAAAATTAAAGTTAAATTTTCAAAATTACTTCAGTTCCTATTGCTACAGCCATCACGTCCAGCTATCAACAAAACCTGCTAAAGAAAAAGCACCATGTGAAGAAGCAAATGAGACATTGGAACCAGATTCACACATGACACAGAATTTAGAGGTATTGGACAGTGAATTTAAAATAACTATGATTAACATGGTAAGGACTCTAATGAAAAATGTAGGCAACATAAAAGAAAAGATGGACAATATAAACAGAGACATTGAAACTCTAGGGAAGAATAAAAAGAAATGGCTAGAAATAAACACTGTAACAGAAATGAAGATTGCCTTCAATTAGCTCAACAGTAGGCTGGACATAGCTGAGGAAAGAATTAGAAAAACTAGAACAGACCATCCAAGAACTGTGGAACAAATTTTAAAAGTTATAATATACACGTATATAACTGTAATACTAGGAAGGAGAAGAAAGAGATGACAGACAGAAGAGTTTCAGTGTGAATTTCCAAAAGTTGTGAATTTCCAAAAGTTAATGGCAGACATGAAAACACAGACCCAGTATGCTCAGATAAATACCAAAAGACTTACACCTAGACATACCATATTTAAACTGCAGAGAACCAAAGATAAAAGGAAATTTTGAAAGAAGCAAGAGGGAAAAAAACCCTCATCTATAGAGAAACACAGATAAGAATTACAGCAAACTTCTCCTGAGAAACCATGTAGTCAAGAGGCGAGTGGAATAAAATATTTTTAGAGTGTTAAACGAATAAGAAACACAAACTTAGAAATCTATATCTAGTAAAATTTTTCTTCGAGTGTGAAAGAAAAGTAAAGACTTTCTCAAACGAAAACTAAAGGAATTCATTGCCAGCAGAGCTACCCTATTGAAAAATACATTAAAAAGTTTTTTTTAAAAAGCAAAATTATATGTCAGAAACTCAGAGCTATAATGTTTAAGTAAGGAAGAGTGTCAGAGGAGGACTAATGAAGTTTGTTTAAAATTCTTTCAAAGTGAGTCTAAGAAAATTATACCAAAAAAAAAATTTAGTAGAAAATGACTGTAGCCATTCAACTTTTAGGTAAGAGCAAGGATTTTCAATATTTGATTGCAAATTCTTCTCATTCTTGCAATATAAATGCTGTCAATGTACTTAAACTTTTGATTTAAAACTGCTATATACACAAAGATTTGTTCACTTTTTTAATTACTAAAATCACAGATCTGAGTCCTGAATTTGGCTGGACACCAGGGAGGAGACAAAGGACTAGGCTCACAGAGTGGGGCACAAGAACTCAGGAGAGGCAGGAAGAAACAGGAACCAGCAGTGGCCTAAGGCAGAAGACCAATAGAATGTGCAGATTATTGGAGAAAACCAGGACATTCCAATAGATTTCAGTGGGAGTTCAAGGCAGTCTTATGTAGATTTTAAGGAGATGGGTACCTCCCAAGTAACAAGTGGGTTGCACTTATATTAAATATACCTTTAAAAAATCACTTACTGTAAGTGAATTTCCATTCAAATGAATACGAGGCATTTGACCTGATATCAGTTTGCAGGAATATGCTAGAAAGAGAAAAATAAAGATGTCATATTTGAAGACCTAATGTCTTCTATGAACATTAAAAAGAAAGAAATGATCTGTTTATGTTCTTCCTTTATCATTCTCTCCTGACTATTTCAAAGCCCAGTAGCCCATCAACAAAGACCAAGCAATGGGTTGTAGAGGGAAGAAGAATTAAAATGTAGGTTCATTTTAATCTTAATAAGCAACTTAAATAGGAATGATTGGGAAGGTGAATATATTAATAAGTAATGGCTAAATCTGTATTTTTAAATGTCTGTAGATTTAAGTTTTTATCAACTTTCTATGACATGAGCTTTTAGATTCATGCTTTATGATAATTCCAAGTCTTTCAGGAAGTCAAATTCCATTGTATCACATTGCTATATCAACAGTATTACACCTGGAATACTAATAAAATTCTAGGTATGACTAAAAGAAGTAAACTTACGTAGTTCTCAAAATAACATTCAACATGAACGTTCAATGAGATGACTTTTCAACCTGAATGTTTGAAGTCTCATTTCATTTATAAATCAGGATATTTCACATCACAAGACAGAATCTTTGAGTATGTTTTAAAAACTACAAACGTGTGCCCACAGTGGACACTCACTTCCACAAGGCAAGGCTGTGCTGGCTGCCCCTTCAGTGGGGGCAGCCCTCGCCCTGTGCACCCCACACCCCCTGTGTGCATTTCCTTTTTTTCCCATCCTGCCTGGTTCTTCCAGGTGTTTGAGTCTGCAAGCCTGGCTCTAAGAAATTAGAGAGTTTCTTTCTTCTTCCAAAACTACCACAGTTACTAAACATTTTTCTTGAAATGGATGCAATCCAGTATAGCAATATATCTAAGAATCCAGTTATTATCAGATGGATAAATGAGTGACTACATCATGGCTGGACTCCTGATATGAGTCCTTAATGGTTATGTTAATATCTAATGTTCACGGAGGACTTACCAAGTACCAGTCACCAGGCTAAGCTCTTCACAGGGTGGCCTCAAGGCATCCTCACAACCACCCAATTATTGTTCCCATTTTACAGATGAGAAAACTGACATTTAGGGAGGTTAAGTAACTCTTAACAAAAAAAAAAAAACACCTAACCCTTCCCTGCCCCATGTTCTCCTCCAGCTACCACCCTATTTCTCTGCTTCACTTCATAGCAAAGCTCTTGGAAAGAGTTGTCTACACCCACTGCACCCACGTCCATGAGTGCTGACAGTTCAGCCCACCACGTGTGTCTCAAGCTCAGTTCCTCTCCCACAGTCCTCATCACGCTCTAGAATAAGTCGCCACCGCTTCTCGTCTAGACTTCCACAAGGGCTCCCTAACTGGTCTCCCTTCTCCAATTTAGTCTAGTTCCCCCCTGATAGGTAACAAATATTTTTAAAGCATAAATCAGATCATCTCACTCTGGTGCCCAGAACCCTACCAGTTCCTTGCTGTGGCCTGCCTACTCTGGCTCCAGCCACACTGTCCTTTCTGTGGCGTCTCAAATGTGACGAGCATCTCCCCGCCCTGGGGCCCCCGTGTTTGCCCTTCTCCTTGTCTGGAATGCTCTTCCCTGAGACCTTCCCAGCGCTGGCTCCCTCTCTTCCTTTGGGTCTCTGCTTCAGATGTCCCCTCCTCAACAGGTCTTCCGTCTAAAATCATCCCCTCTATCTTTCTCTATGCCTTGCTTTGTTTTCGCTCTTTGCACTCATCACAATAGTGTCACAACATGCATTGATCTATCTGCCTGCTAATTTTCTGTCTTCTCTGCTGGGATGTAAATTCCAAGAGGGCAGAGAGAGACACTCTTATTTAGCTTTTCATTTCCAGCTCCTAGAATTTCCTGGCACATAGCAAGTGCTCAACGTTCATGGAATGAGCGAAGGTCAAGTAAAATCAATGGAGGCGACGTTCAAAGGTGTCCAGTACACACAGAGTCACTTTTTCACGTATGTCCCTTTAACTACAACTGGATATCAGGATGATCATGGAAATAATAGTAGTTGCAACTCTTTCTCACCATCAAAATTTGCATATTTACTGCTAACACTTTATTTTCAACTCCTTTTCTATTCCCTAAGATACAGTCAAACAGTAAAGATTAAAAAAAAAGAAGAAGAAAAAGACTATAAAGGCAGGAAGAAGCAACATTGGAAACTGGAAGGGAAGAATAAAAGCCACCTGGATATTTTCACCTATAGTCAAACTTTTATGAATAGACACAGACAATGCAAAAGTAGGTAGATAAACTGTAGGGCAATAAAAAAAAGGTGATTTCGAGTTTTGGAGGAAGGGAACAAGAAACTAACATATTACTCATGTTAGCATTCTGCATTCTGTAGCTCAGGAATGGGAAGGAGACATTTAGAGCTTGCGTTGCCAACGTGTCCAAACCCCCTGCCATGTGACGTCAAGGTTGTGTTGCGCCCCATCCTTCCAACGACACCAAACAGTTACTCGACAGAAGCTTAGCCGTACGTTCTTGACGTTGGGACATACTTAGAATATGTGCACAATGAGATCTGTAAAAGCTCTCTTTATGTCTATTACCTACGTTAATTGCAGTTTCTTGTTTGTCTCCCGTCAAGACCCATATTCTTATGTTTGCTTTCAGTAAGGTTGCTATGGTTTCCGGAACGTGTTCTTGAAGACGGTCTTCAATGGCTGTGGCTCCAAGCAGTAAAAATTCCTAGATGTTTTTGGAGATTTTTTTTTTAATTACTAAAGATTTTTTTTAAAAAAATGAACATTTTAAAGATGGAATAAATACAGGATATACTGACAAAAGCTTTGTAGTCTAATAATTTATTATTCAAAGTCATATATATATATACACACACACACACACACAAAAAAAATGTTTTTCCTATTCTTTCTGTTGGTCCATTTTGCCACAGGGCGAGGCAGTGTAGCATGACTAGTAAGAACCTAGGCTCTTGGATTCATGTCCCAACTCTGTAAGTGACTAGATGTGGGACCATAAGCAATTTCCTGTGCCTCAGTTTCCTCATCTATAAAATGTAAAAGTGGGGAAAATAAAATTACTCATAGAATTTTTTATGAGTTAATATGTATAAAGGATTGGAATAATTTCCAGTAGGTAATAAGTAGTCAATAAACACTACCTGTTACTTTAAATATTGTAACTTTAAGATAAGTCTTGATGTCTAGTCAGGTAAGTCACCTCTCTTTATTGTTATTCTTCAAAAATTACCTTGACAATCCTAGGCCATCTCCTACTTCTGTATGAATTTTAGGACAAATGTGTCAAGTTCTGTGAAAATCCTGCTGGGAATTTGGCGCATTCCTGCATTGCATTACTTTAAGAATTGTCACTGGGTATCAATGCATACTGTGTATACCCACCCATTTATTTAGGTCCTTCATTTTGTCATTAATTAAAATTTGACAATTTTTTCATAAGATTCTTACTCATTACATAATTTATTTTATACTTTTTTTTTCCTATTGAGAATTATTTCCCTGTCACTGCAGGGATCCAGATGTTTGGTGGTAGATAAAAGGGTTCATGTAAAGCACAAAGAGATAGACCAGATGACCTCAGAGTATCTGAACTATGTTTCCCAGAGGCCAGAACAATCTAAAGGTTTAAGAGTATTTTATATTACATTTATCAATTGTTAAAGTGAAATTAAGATATAAGGCAAGCTGATTCAATGCTGATAATTAGAATCAAAATAATTTAATTGAAATACTATCATATATAACTAATAAATTAAAACTTTCAAATAGCCATAACATTTTTAGTTTTATTGACAAGCTGAATGTTTATAAATGCTAAATATTCAGACAAATTAATCCTATTATAAACACCTATTTCTGTTACCATTTTTGTCCCATATCTGCTGTAATATCTTAAAGATATTTTTATACTAAAACTTTGAATTTTAATATAAAATTTCCCACAACTATCAGAAAGTATTTTTAGTAATGATTTATGTTTCCAGAAATTTTTAAAACAGTGCTTTAAACATTATCAGGATAGAAACAGCCAGCAAACTAGAAATAGAAGGGAACTTCCTGAACCTCATAAAGGATGTCTACGGGAAACCCACAGTGAACATCGTACTTAATGGAGAAGGGCTAAGTGCTTTCCTTATAAGATCATGAACAGGATAAGGATGTCTACCCTCACTGCTTCTAATTAACATATTTTTGGAGGTTCTAGCCAGGGCAATTAGGCAAGAAAAAGAAATAAAGGTACCCAAAATAAAAAATGAGAAGGAAAAAAACATATTTATATATGAATGATCTTGTGTGTGTGTGTGTGTGTGTGTGTGTGTATAAAAATTCTAAAGAATACTCTAAAAAAAACCTATTAGGACTAATAAATGAATTTGTCAATCTTGTAGGATACAAGAACAATGTACAAAAATCATTTGTATTTCTATACACCTTCAATGAACAATTCAAAAAAAAAAAAGAAATTAAGAAGATAATCCATTTATAATAGCACTAAAATAGAATAAAATACTTAGGGATAAATTTAACCAAGGGAGTGCAAAAATTATACACTGTAAACTAAAAAACATTGTTGAAATAAGTTATAGAAGATGTAAATAAATGACAAACATCTCCTTTCAAAGGCCAAAAGACTGAATATTGTTAAGATGACAACATTCTCCAAATTAATTTATAGCTTCAACACAATCCCCATCAGAATTCCAGCTTTACTGTGTAGAAATTGACAAGCTGACTGCAAAATGCATGTGGAATTTCAAGGCACACAGAATAGTCAAAGCAATCTTGAAATAGAAGAAGAAAGTGGATATACCACAATTACTGATTTCAAAACTTACTACAAAGCAACGGGAATCAAGAGAGTGTGGTACTAGCATATGTCCAGACATAAAATAAAAGTGAGATCCCAGAAATAAACCCCTGTAACTGTGGCCAACTGACTTCTACAGGGGTGCCAGGACAACTCAATGTGAAAGGAACAGTCCCTTCCAGAAATGATGTTGGGAAAACTGGATATTGACACACAAAAGAGTAAAGTTAGAACCTTATCTCACACACTATATAATAAGCAACTAAAAATAGACCAAGTACCTAAATATAAGAGCTAAAACTATAAAACCATAAAACTCTTAGAAAAATTCATAGAAATACAGTCTGGTGACACTGGATTAGATATAGCCATCCTATATATGACACCAAGACATAAGCAATACACAAAAAAATAAAGAAATCAGATTTCATCAAAATTAAAAACTTTTGTGCATCAGAGGGCATCACCAGGAAAGTGAATGATCACCTAGAGAATGGAACAAAATATTTGTAAATTATACAGCTGACAAGGGACTTGTAGCCAGAATATGTAAAAAAAAAAAAAAAAACTCCTTCAACTCAACAGTAAAGAGATGACCCAGTTCGAAAATGGGCAAAGTCATTACAGTTTCCTGATCCAACACATAAGTGGCTCAGAAGTTGTCACTCCAACACTCACGAGAAGAAAAGCTGAATAAGCTAAAATTGACAACTCTTCTCAGCTCCATCAGAGATCTGAGGGCACAGGACAAACTACTGCCCTTATCGCTGGGCAGAGAGACAGACGCCGAGAGTTTCAGCTTACTAGAACCACAGCCCAGGGGTTAGAGGCCTGCTGCTGGAAGTGGCACTTACGGGAACATTCGAACTGCAGTTGGTGAACTGCTTAGAAGCACGGGGTGGACTAGCTTGAGAGTTGAACATTCTGGGGGTGCTCAGTTTTGGAGGAGCTCTATGCTTTCATGAATTTTACTTCCAGGTGCCCCATCATGTTCTGACTGTGAAGACCAGAGGAAAAAAATCCCTCCAGTTTATGGCAGAGGGAGCAAAAAAGTAACCATTTTGAAATATACCTAGATTATTCTGTTCTCCTCACAGAGGCCTGTGTTCAAGAGAAACTATTTTGTCACAGCCTTACAAACTTGGATTTAGCAGAGCCTACCAATCTGGAGAAAGGAAAACATCCATCTCTGGCTCCTTCTAGACTTTGATGTGGGGGAAAGGAAATACACAACTCAGACTTACTGAACAACTGAGAGCTAATTGTGGGACCATAGAACACTCTCCCTTTCCCCGCACCTTACCAACACATCAATCAGGTCCTGTATAGTAATAGGCTATAACTACATTACCAGACTTCGAATTATACTACAGGGCTATAGCAACAGAAACAGCATGCTAATAGCACAAAAATAGAGACATAGACCAGTGGAACAGAATAGAGAATCCAGATATAAAACCACTCACATACAGGCAACTAATCTTTGACAAAGCAGACAACAATATACACTGGGGAAAAGAAGCCCTATTCAATAAATGGTGTTGGGAGAATTGGATAGCCACATGCAGAAGAATGAAATTGGATTGGTATGTCTCACCACTCACAAAAATTAACCTAAGATGGATAAAAGACTTAAATGTAAGGCATGAGACCACAAAAATGCTAGAGTAAAATGTAGACAAAACTCTTCTAGATATCAGCCTAGACAAAGAATTTATGACTAAGACCCCAGTGGCAATTAGAGTAACAATAAAAATAACTAAATGGGGCTTGATTAAATTTAAAAAGTTCTGCACAGCCAGGGAAGTAATCAAGAGAGCAACAGACAACCTACAGAATGGGAAAGTTGTCAGAATCAAAACGGAGTCACTGTGTTTTTGGTTTTTTTTTTTTAAAAAACCAACACTGACAAATAATGCTAAGAAAGGCCATTCTAGTGGATAAATACTGATAAAAACTACCACGAAAGACCCCACAAAAAACTGCACAACCTTGCACAACCATCACGACCTTACCAAAAAAAAAATACTTCTGCATGAGCCTCTGCCCACCAACGGCCTGTACAACCTCAGAGGGTATCACCCTTATTATTGATGCTTGTAACCGAGAATGATTATCTCAAGATAATTACATAATCTTCCTCATTTTTTCTTTAATATTTGTCGTCCTTTACCTCCCTGAATACATACATAGTTCACTATGGCACATGTATGTTCCTTGCAGTGTCCTATTCCTGAATACATAGCATTTTCTCTTAGAAGGCCTCCCTCTGTTATTTAGGTTGAGAAAGATAACATATAAGAATATTCAATAATATGTAAAAATTCTCAACTTATTAAGTGAAAGATTTATAATTCAAGCGGTCTGCATAGAATATGCTAATTTTCATTGGAAAAATTAGTGTGTGCGTGTTAAATATATACAATGGAATATTACATATGCAACGCAAATATATAAAGAGAAGAGAAGACATTGGAAATTTACATGCTAGAACTTAAGAAGTCATTAGCCCAATATTACAGATGTTCATTATTCTATTCTATTCATTATTATTATTACTCATTCTATTATTCATTCATTATTATTCTATTCATTATTCCACCTTGTTTTTCTATAATGAATACATATTTCTTTTGAAATGGAAAGAGTTATAAAAAAAATTACTACAAGACTGAAATGATTATGATATGATTCAGAAGACAGAGAAATATTTTGAAATATTTTATAAAAACATTTTATGAATTCACAGTGTGATAAGACAGAGTTATACTCCTGAAGAGAAAAGGCCCAAAATTTCAGCTTTAATAATTACATTAAGATATGAAAACATCAATAAGTAGATTTCCTTCACATATTTATCTTGGCATGTAGAGGGCATACGGGCTATGTTACCTTTTCGATGATATCGTAACATTCTTCCATTCTTTGAATCCTGTTGTGTAACGTTATACTAGCTTTCTTATACTTCTCTAGCCATTGTTTGTATTCCTTCTCAGTTAGATCTGTGTAAGCGATACAGAGAGTTCTCAGACCTGCAAGAAAGAACATAGTATGGCTTGGTCACGCAACCAGTGGTCAGGGAGAAGTGGAACGTTTGAAAATGAAATTCAAAAGCATTTTAAAATTCATGGAAATGTGAAGTTATTCACATGGCCCTATCCAGTCTGCCCCTGGATCCTCTGCTCTCTCTTCCCTGCTGCTCGTCACTTGCTGTGGCATCCCAGCTGGTCCTCTTACTTCCAGATTCAGGCACTGTCGCTACTACCCTTTTCCTGGAACACTTTCCCCTGGAAAGTGACAAAGTGCCACCTTCCTTCCTGCAGCCTGTGCCTAAACCACCCTGTAGAGAGAGCACAGAATCACTCTCTGCTCACTTATCCCGCTGTATTTTTATTCCTAGCACATAGCACCACCTGACCTGACGGTATCTACTTATTGGCGAATTCCTTCAGGGCATGAGCTTCCTGCGTTTTATTCACTGCCGTCCTAGAGGCTCTGAACAGTGCATGGCACTTAGTAGATGCTCAATAACACCTTGTTCAATGAATAAAAGAATGAACAAGGGTTCAGTTTTTTTAGTCACTTATCAAATAATCTCAAAAACCACAGAAAATTAAATTCTATTTTTCAAGGACTTTAAAACATTTTAAATCCGTGCTCTAATATTTTAGGCTAACTCCTACAAAATATCAAAAGTCTTGTGGATTCCCTAGAAATTAACTCTCTACATGAGAGATACAGAAGTTGTTGTTCTTTTTCTGTGTTCAGTTATAATATAGTGCCTATATGTTTCTACCTGGTGTGACCTGCCTATGGCACATCTATATCTTTAAGATAGCAATAAAAGGCCCAATGCACAACCTTACATAATACCCGTACTTTAAGGTTGTACACGTGTGTCTGTATGAAGCATCAGCTTATGAACTACACTGCTGGATAGAGGGGAAAAAAGGAAAACAATGTAATAAATAATGTCTCACCAGGGTTTGTTTGGGAAACCATTTGCATTTAAGCAAACAGAAGGCACTACAAAGGCACGTATGCAAACAAGCTACCCTCTTGTCCGCCTATGTGCCCAACGAGCCTCAGTGGCCATATTCAGGTTGTAATTTCAACATTTAAGAAAGGCATTTCTAAGAGGAATGAGATTCCAAACAATTTTTACTTACCATCGCTGGCAAAATATTCTAGATGGGATAATGTCTCCTTCACAAACAGAGAACTTGCTGAAAGTCTCTCATAAATCACTGTATCCTATAAAAAAAAACAAAAAACAATTCCCTTTGATGAACATCTTATATAAGCCTTCCAGGCAGAATTCTAAATACTGCTTTACAATCATATAGTTATATCTAATAGGTGGGAATGGGTTTGAGAAATGAAAACACAATGAAAACGCAAGTCCAGAATGAATTGGAAATAAGCTTTAAAAAGTATGAATTGGTCAAGTCACTTTAGAGAAAACTTAGTCTGATGCTACAAATGAAACATATTGGAGAAGACCAAAAAGCAGGGAGGAGAAACGTGAGATGCCATTGCTTTATGTATCCTCACATGTATCAAAGAAATAAAAAACAAAATCTATTAAACATCACACCTAGCTGAAATAATGAGAAGAGTCAAATGCCACATCCTGTGTGATTCAAAGGCAAGCCAGCTCTCCAACCCTCGAGAAGCGTTAGGCAGTCCCAGTGCGAGCGGTCTCTCTTCAACAGACAAGACAAGAACCGCCATTGGTCAAGAACAAAGTGGAGAGAGAAAACCTTAACTTGAATTTCTTTCTATATATTTCAGGTAGAGTTTACTATTTCAAAGTACTTTCCTGTACTATTCTGAGACTAGGAAAAACAAACAAAAAAAATGTATTTTGTTTCCTTGCATGGTATGATAAAACTAATACGCAATAAAAAAATATATACCATTATAAATTTGTAGCAAAATGGTGAATCTTTTACGCACCAATTTGCTAGTATTGTGAGGACTGCAAAGTATTGGAATAAATACTCTGATAGGATTCTTTCTACGATGAGGGGAGAGCTGGGACGGGGGTGCTGGGAGACATCAGCGGGCTGGTCCCGGGTCCGATAATGCCTGCTGCGCCCCCTCAGGAGCTTGGGTCACACCTGCTGGACACTTGCCGGGCTGAGCCTCAGACAAGCTGGCACGTGCAGGTGGAAGGTGCGGAGCGGAAGAGCCTGCTGTGCCACCCCCACCGCCACCCCGCCTTCACGGAGGAGCGGGAAGAGGAAAGGTGGGCTGAGAATGGTGGTGGAGCCATGCTTCCGAAATTTTGAGCATGGATTTTTAAGTTCTTCGCTGTTGGAAATGAGGGGCTGAGATATAAACTATATCAACTCCCTCCAACTTTCTTGCAAAAATTTTGATGAAGGCCACATTGCTCCCCAAAGCTTTTATGAAGTGGATTGGTGAGTCCAAAGGGTCTGAGTTTCACAACCAAGATGCTAGATATGAAACAGAGAGAGAGAGGCTAAAACACATAAATGTAGAGGCCAGCGGGTAAGAGACAGGATGTGTACTTACAGATCAAATATAGGGAACAGTGGTTTTCAAGCTACAGAGCATCAGGCGGCAAAGGACAGTGATGCCTGAGAGACAGGAAACGGTAAGGCGAGCCCACTGATTGCCCAGCGTATTGTTTCGAGAGAGTTTCCAGGCCAAGGTGCAGGGAGAAGGAAGGCAGATGAAGGCCAGCGGACAAAGTTTTCAGTTGAGGAGGTGGAGTCGAGATCCTAGTAAGGTCAGAAAACTAGAATTCCCAGGACAGAGTGCCAAGAGAAGAGGCTGCAGAAAGAGAAAACTCCAAAGAGAAGCAGAACCTCTCAAGCATTTAGCAGAGTGCTGATCAATGCTTATAGAGACAGTGTCAGATTCCAGAGAAAGAAGCACTAGAAAGAATTAGAGGTAGCAGTTCCTGGGGCTCACACAGAGGTACATACGATGCCTAGTCCCACCAGCCAAACTGGAAAAGCTCATAACTTAAGAAAGTCAGCCCAGTGACCCATAGTAGTTAGGAGACACGGTGTTGGTCTCATCTATGAAGCCATGAAAAGACACAGCAGAACCGTAAATGCACACTGTTAAGTGAAGCGCGTCAGTCTCGAAAGGCTACATACTGTATCATTTCAACGACCTGACGTTCTGGAAATGGTAAGTCTATGGAGACAGTAAAAAAGGCCAGTGGTTTCCAGGGGCCGAGTGGAGAGAGGGATGAATAGGTAGAAAACGAGATTTTGGGGGGCAGTGAAAATATTCTGTATGAGACCATAATAGTGGGTACCTGTCATTCTGCATTTATCCAAACCCACAGAAAATGCACCCCCAAGAGTGAACCCTAATGCCGTCTGCGGATTTGGGGTGATTATGGAGCGTCAGTGTAGGTTCATCGGTTGCAACAGACGCAGGACTCCGGCGGGGGGTGTTGATAGAGGGGAGGCTGTTGGGGGGGCGGGGAGGGGATGTGGGAAATCTTTGTAACTTCCTCTCCATTTTTCTGTGAGACTAAAACTGCTTTAAAACATAAAGTCTTTTTATAAAGGGGGATATATTTAAACAGACATTATGCCAAAGAAACGTATGGCTAGAGTTTGAGAAAGTTAACGCCGCAGGTTGGAGACCGCCATGCTTAGAAACACCTACTGGCAAGGCTGGCCCTTGGCTGGCGTCCAGGAATCTGGCTGGTAACCAGCTCCCGAAACCGTCATAAAATCTCCCTGCGTGACTCCCTGGGACGCCTGCACGTGGATTCCTCCGGGCTCGGCCGTGTCTTCTTACCTTACGGTCCGGCTGTGTGTCTTTACTACATTGCTGTAAAAGTGTGAGTATGAGGATTCGTACTCACATGAATCTCCAAACAACAGGGATGGTCTTGGGGAACCCCCCCCTCAAACTGCAAATTATTCACCATCAGTCACAGCATGGGAATGTAAATTAAATGCACATGTAAATTAAAACCACAGTGACATATACACCTATCAGAATGGCTAAAATTAAAAAGACGAACCATGCCAAGCACTGACAGAGCTTGCTGGTAAGAATAGAACCACAGTTTGGTGGTTTCTTAAAAAGTTAAACATACGTTTGCTATGGGGCCCAGCCATTTCACTCCTAGATACATACCCAAGAGAAAGGAAACCAAATGTCTATATGCAGACTCGCGCACAAATGTTCATAAAAGCATTATGCAAAACTGCAAGCAAAATCTCTACCAACAGGTCAATGAATAAGCAAACTGTAGTAAAACCATACAAATTAGCCAGGCGTGGGGGTGTGCACACATAGTGCCAGTTACGTGGGAGGCTGAGGCAGGAGGATCACTTGAGCCCAGGAGTTGGAGGCTACAGTAAGCTCTGATGACACCGCTGCACTCTAGCTCAGCCAACAGAGTGAGACCCTGCCTCAAAAAAAAAAAAAAAAAAATAGAAATACTTCTCAACAATACAAAGAAAGGAAGTATTGATACATGATTAATCTCAGAATAATTATGAGTGAGAGAAGCCAAACAAAAAGTCATACATACCATATGATTTCATTTACATAAAATTTTAGTAAATGTATGAACACTGTATGACTCCAACTACCTGACATTTTGGAGAAGACAAATCTATAGAGACAGTAAAAAGATCAGTGGTTTATAGTGACAGGAAGCAGATCAGGGCCAGAGCTGATCAAATTGCACACCTTAATACGCGCAGTTTATCTTACTTCAGTAAGCCTCAATTACACCCCCATAAGCTCACTACACCTGGTAGTGAACAAATGCGTAAGTGTTTCTGAAAAGAATTTACAGAGGTAAAAGCGAATTCCTGAGACCCATCAAATCAAGCACTGGCAACTGGGACCAAAATCCCTGCTCCGAATCCTTGGCACCAGCTGTGTAATCGCTGGCATCCAATGAGACAACTCAGTGACAGCAGACTTCTCTCCTACACTAGAGCACAAAGAGCATCCTGGGGTGCGCCACCCCAAAATTTCAGAAGGCTTCGACTGTTGGGGAAGCTTCTGGGCTACCCGGAAATGAACTTCTCCATCTTGGATGATGCTGTCAACAACCGATGGCAACAGCAGAGAAAAAGCGACGCCATTTGAAAGTGTTGAGAAGCTGTGAAAGGCTTCCCACCCGTCGTGGAGCACAGAGAGAGCGAGCTCACGCGAGTAACGGGTCCCAGTACTTACGGCCCCTTTGCAGTAGAGCCGGAGCTTGCCCTCGGGCGTCCGGGCGATGATGGACATCCTTTTCCTATTACTACAACAACAGGAAACATAGCATTAGTTTCTATTCTTTTCAGTACGCAATGCGAACACACACACACACACACACACACACACAAAATCAACGTCAAAAGAATCCCAGTAGTCAGAGCCCTCAGCTGGTAATCTGTGAAAAAGGTCAGCGTATTCCTTCAGTTGCACGTCTCCACTCAAGTAGGACTCTAACGACAAATCCCCGTGGCCTTCACCCACTGCCACCGCTTGGGTACTCTCCTGGCTTCCGTGGCATTTACTAGCACAACTACAGATATAATATGTAGTACATGTGTGTATATATATATAATATTATATGGATAATATAATGCAGCATATATGACGGTCATGTATTTGTACATAATATAGAATATGTTTATCGTATTATATAAAACATATTTCATATAATATATAATTATGACTATTATTAATTATATACTATATAATATTATATATCTTACACATATGCAATGTATATTATATATAACATCATATACTATATAATACATATTGTACATATATAATATGATCATTAAAAAAAAAATGAGGAAAGAGGAAAACTTCCTGGGCTCCGGGCATTGCTCGGTCCTCACCACATTTCTATCCAGTGGACGTTCGCATCCGCACTTGGCTGCACAGAGATGTTAAGACACTTGCTCGCTGGATGCCACAGAGTTTTCATACATAGTTCTGTCTCGAAGTCCCCCAGATTGTCTTCTTCTTCTGTTTACTGTCGTAGACAGACCTTAAGCTCACTGCTACTTTTCCTGACTTAACAGCCCAAACGGGCTCGACGATCTCCCCTCTCCACCTTGTCCCTACCCTGCCAAAGCACACTGCCCGAGATAACACTCCTCCATCCTCCTCCCAACCCTCCGACAGCTCTCCGTGTCCTAGCAGGACATTTCAGGAGACCCTACGAGTAACCTTCAAGTCCTCAGCCTCTTGGTCCCTCCTCATATCCCACAGACCTGAGTGCCGCACAGAGCACAGCCACACCGGAGGACTGTCTAGCCCCTGCACCGCGCGCGTTCTCCTCTGCTGCATCCCTGCCCACACGCCCTCTTCCTCAGCTAGGCGTCCCGCTCCCAGCTCCCATGCCTGCCTGCTCGAACCCTGCCTGTCCTCCAAAGATGCAGCCTCCTCCACACAGCCTTCCTAAAAGTCTTCAGTCAGAGTAACCTCTTCCGTGCTCACCTAGAACTTGACGTATTCCTGTACTTATATCTTACGAGACCCTGCCTAGCACATTTTTTTTTTTTTTGCACATAACCGTGTCTTCTAGACTGCAAGCTCCTCCGGGCAAGGACGATGCCTTCATGTCGATTGAAAAGCTCCTCTCTCTAGCACAGTTCTTAACACGGAGCAGGTACCCAAATGCTCCAGGAAATGATTAGTAGAAAGGCAGCAAGAACTTCTCCCACTGAGAAACTTTACATATAATTTTCACCTGTGGTGTGAGACACAGGTACCCAGGGAAAGAAGAGGTCCATTAAACGGTAAACCGCATTTCAGTTACTAACTCTAAACTTAGCAACTGAACATTTCTTTTCAAAGTCAGGCTACCAGTGGACTGAAATGGGTACCCTGCCTTCTCCTTCTTCCTGCCATTCCCTGGTAGAAGCAAAGACACGAATGAGCACACTGGAAGTAAGAAGTGTGGATAACTACATGATCACAGCTGAGTAGCCGGCTGGCAAACAAATTAAAGTATTACAAACTCAAGAATGAAAGACACTCTGTTCTTTATCACTTTCATACGTGGTAGCTCTACAGCAAGTAAAACAACACATCCGAGAAGATGATGATCTCTTAAAAACAGAAATCATATAACACCTCCCTGCTTAAAGCCTTCTGATGGTTTTGCGACACACTTAGGAAAATACCAAATTCCTCACCCTACACTACAAAGACCCTGAAAGATCCTGCCGGGAGATTTACCAAGGGCTGCTCTCCCCACCCCTGCAGCCCAGTCACCGTCACTGCACCGAAGCCAAGCCCCACCGCTCTCAGGCCGGGCTCTGGCTGCTGCCTCGGCCGAGTGCTCTTCCCCCCCCCCCCGCGTCTTCCCCCAGCTGCCTCCTTCCATCCGCCAGCTTCCAGCCCCGATCTCCCCTTCCTTGACCAGCCAACTAAAGGTCGCAAACCTCCACCAGCAAGAGCGCCGCAGTCTGTCTCCGCCGGATCGTACGGTTTGATGTTCTTTATGGCGCTCATCATAGCCCGAAATTATCTGCTTGTTACCTTGTCTGTCCAGTGTCTGTCTCCTCGCACTATGACCCGCATACACGGGCAGCCATCTCGGCCACTGTGATCCTAGAACAGTGAGTGATTCCTGCCCCCACACCCTCCCCACCCCCGGAGCTTACAGTCTAGTTAGCAAGACAGCTAATTCAGAATCGTCACCGTGGCCGGGACAAGTGCTGTACAGGACAGGCCCAGGTGAGCTTACAAAGGGGAGTTTGGCCTAATGAGGCCTGAAGAGGTGAGAACGGAGGTGAGCTTCCAAGGAAGAGGCTGACTAGAGTCTCGTGACTCCGTGCTGGGGTTTTGATGTGTGTCGACAAATCTCAATTTCATTAGTCATGGAAACTGCCCTGGGAAAGACATGAACTTTATGCAAAGGCAGCTTACCTAGAAAACTCCAGGACATTAAGAATTTCAAAAGTGTATTTTTCTCCCATCTGTAGGAACACAAGACAACATATCCTTACCTGAGGAAAAAAGTATCCGTCTTGCAAAATCATTCACTACCCTAGTAGTCACAAAGAAGTGTCACCCTCCCAATACCCATCTTCAAAATATAAATTCTCTGCCAGCCTGACAAGAGGACGGCACCCTCCTCTGGGAAGAGCGCTGCTTGCAACCTGAGCCACCGCACGAGTGTTTCTAAGAGCACCGGTTCAGGACAAACACAGCTCTCTTCGCAGTCTAAACTTGGCCCCGTGGAGACATTTGCTAAAACGCTCCCAGGCAGCTGGGGTGCACGCAGTGAGTGGGACGGTCGGCAGCCGGCAGTGGGGGAACAGGCCCATCCCTCTGCTATACAGCGCACTGGTCAGATGAAACCCTCGGTGCTTAGGCAACTTGAAGAGGGTAAATAAGGACAGAGGCAGTGTGCCATGTGTGAAGTTTTTACAGCAGTGATGCATTCTTTTCTAAATAGTTCCAGTCACAGCCTCTTGCTTTCCTATAGCCAAGATGAACTTAATTTCTGAATCTCCTAGCTCCCAGCAGCACCAATAAGGCACTGCAGAATTTTAACTCATTCAAGAGGTCATCATGTGCCAGGTACCATGGATATAAAGATGAATTAATCAGTAGTTTCCACCAAGGACTCGATGTCTAGTAAACATCTCTAACCATAGCATTATTATTAGGGAAAAAAAATCCCCATGTTGGTCACTATGTTTGTGTTGCTTCAATTTCTTCCCCATATCAAAGACTTGAGGTTATCAAGGCAGAACAAGGATATATATATATAAATATATAATAATATATATTATTATTATATATATATATATAGTAAAGTGAATAATCTGCACAATAACAGAACTCACCAAAAAATAGTTTGAACCATGTTAATTCCTCATAGGAAAAAGATAGCATCTTTCCTGAAGTTCTGATGATTTTAACTCTTTGGAATAGCTCATTTTAATCGTGCACTTTCTATGTGCCGGGCACTAATTCCAAGTACATTATAGACACTAACTTGTTTAACCCTCACAGGGACCCCTATGACAGGCTTAATGAGAAAACTGGGACAGATGTGGAGAAGCTCAGGAACACATCTGAGAATAACGGCGGGGAAGTGTGGGGCCGGGTTGGCGTCCCAGGCACTGTGACTGCAGGGCTCCCATTGGGCACCACTGTATACTTGTAACTCTGGAATAGCAGGCCCGTGTAAAGTGTCAACAGGTGGCTGGGGTGCTACTCACAGCTTCTATGGTGACAGAGTACGGCGTCCTTGTAGTGAGGACAAAGCCAAGTCTTTTTGCTCCTTTCACCAAAGCTGCTTCATCTGTCAACAAAAAGTCTGCATTAGTAGGAATGGAGCAAAGGTATAACACCGAATTTAATTTAATACAGACTGCCGTTCTCCAGCACTAAAATATCATGTCTTTTTAAAAACTTGGCTTTTTTGATGCAAATGCACCTATCTGTCCTTATAGGTGCTAGACATTATTCGTGAAAGAGGAATTATGGTTAATCGTGCCTCTTTCAGTTGAGCTAAGGTGATCATGCCAGGCTGCCAGCGAAACACTTTCTTAGTCTTCATTGTGATCTTGTTTGCTCTCAAAGCCACTGACAGCGTGTGCATAAAATGCTGCGGGGGCCTGGACTTCACCCCTGCCCTGCTACTGGTTAGCACCCAACACTGCTGCGCCCCAGGTGCTGAGCGCCCTCCCGGTCTTTAGTAGGGCTGGGGACCCAGGAGCCCCGGAGCCGTAGGGAGGCTCAGAGCTGCTCTGCAGCGCAAACGCCCGGCCAGTAAGAACCCGAGGGCAGGAGAAGGGTGGCAGCAGCCAGCAGGGGCTCAGTGGCAGGGCCCGCCCCCTCGGAGACCTCACTGCCGACACCTACCTGGGGAGGATGCCTGGTAGACTATGTCGTGATCATCTCTCTCGGGGACAACAGTGTGGCACACGCATAGCAGGGTCAAAAATTCCTTTATGTATTGTTCTGTGGGCTGTAAAAAGGCACAGAGCTGGTGAATCTTTTTCAACTTGAGCAACGCGAGGGTTACGTACAGTAGTCTGCAATGTGCGCCAGCCGAGGTCCCAACCGCAGGCTCGCACAAAGTCAGGCACCAGCCCAAAACCACAGCGTGCATTCACCGCCGGCCTGGGCGTGGCTGCCGGGCCTGGGACGGGTGGGAGCCAGGGAGACGCCAGGGAACAAGACGACGCTGCCCTCTTGGAGCTTTCATTCTCCCTGGGGAGAGGGGATTCCCCAAAGCTGGAGCAAACACACAGGGACAAAAACAGAGAAGAGAACGGCCTATTTTAGACAGACGCCCGGGGACTGACACTTGGGGAGACGGCACCAACAGTAAGATCCAAACAGAAAGGTTAGCTGGCAGCTTGTGGAGCTGGCAGTGGTGGCAGCACACGCTTGACAAAGGGAATTAATCGTCGCACCCTCGAAGGCCCCAGTCGGGAAAGAGTTCCGTGTGCTTGTGGGGTGTTTAGGCAAGCGTGATGTTAGCATGTTGAGCAAGGGGAACGACGACACAGAACAAGATCGAAGAGAAGACCATGGTGATGAGTCTGGATTTTATTGTAAGTATGGCGCCAGTCCTCGCAAGGTTTTTAAACAAATCTTTTATGCTTTAAAAGATTAATTTTTGAGAAGATTGAGATTTCAAATCAAGTACATCAACCTCTTAAAGCAGATCAGTGAAGACACGGGCAGCATTTGATAGAACCAAATAGTGTAAAAGCAGATAGACAGTCTTAGCTTAGCTTGCTACACAGCAACAGTTCCTGTATAATTCACTAACACTCATAAGTTCAGTGCTTAGCTCATAATATTGGTACAAAATCCCTTGCTTGTTATATATGGACATCAAAAAATTTCAGGACTCTCTTTTTATGTTTAGAGAATGATACATTGCAGAAAGACACATATATGTTTTAAAGTTAGAGAGCTTTACTGTGGCAACTTGGAATAAGAATAACAGACTTACATGGCCATTGTCAATGTTATTCAGTAATAGGGAGCCATCAAATTCAGAGGATTCTGTGGCGTAAGAAGGTGTCTGTCTATAAGGAAGAATGGAAAAGATTAACAAAACGTTCATGGTGGCACCAGTCAACGGTCAAAAGCATCAAAAGTCACAGACAGTCCCATCTTCTGTTTTCAGTAAGATCACACTTAAAGAGTTTACAGAACTCTAGTCAATAAAATTCTGTCACATGATACACCCTCCTAGGACATGAGCTACAAAATGGCATTTGAAAATGTCTAAACTTGCGTTAAAAACTGCACAGTGGTAAGAAACAGAGTAACTTGAAACAGAGTAACTACAAAAGCAAACTACAGAGTAATTTGAAACAGAGTAACTACAAAAGCAATAAATTAAAGGCTAGGTTCTAGGTTCTTTGAATACTGGGGAAGATCTATCCAGCAGAGCTTCTGGAAACTGCCATTTGAAGTATAGACAAGAGAGAGCTATGGGATTGTATGTTAATACTCCAGTATTAACAAAAGTTGGTTGTAGAGAAAAGAAAAAGGGCAAAGTAGAAAAGAATGTTGTCTATAACCTGAAGTTCCTTACGTTACCAACACTTCTGTCTGAATGATTTCTAAGGAAAAATGAGGGCAGAAATGTAACCGTTACAACACTCTAAATATAAAATTCCTTAGAAATTCTAATGATGTAAACTATATTTTTTTAACAGCTGCAAGTTCTTATTTAGGCTATATTAAGTTTCAATCTCATTCAGATGCCGCTACAATACTAGAAATCCAGATAAGTCTTGGAGTAAATAAAAGCCAATTAATTTTAAGAAAAAAAAATGAGAATTTCCAACAGAGTATGACAACAAAAACACTTACCCATAAATTATACCTGCAATGGTACACTTCTTAAATATCATCATATTGCAAGTGAGGGTTCCTGTTTTATCAGAAAATAAGTATTTTACCTAAACAAAGAAAAAAATAAACATGATAAATCACATAAATTTAAAATGT